AGTGCAGTTATGTCTGGGAGAAGCCGGAATGCAGGAGACTCCGGCAAGGATAGGGGAGTACAGAAACTGCATCGGCTGGTGTCACTCAGGAACACGGCGACCCTCACACACCCCTCAACTTCTATCCGCTGCTTCTGCCCACACCTGTCTACAAACTGTCAGAGCAGAGAGAAGAGGTTGAAGAGATGGAGGAAGAGGAGGGAGACAGCTGGAAAATGAAGATCAAAACTTGGATTGTGTTTTCTGAATTTAACAAAAACATGTTTTAAATGCTCACGCTTATTGTACATTAGCTCATTCTCATCACATTGGGTCACAATCTCCACCCCCATGCCCCAGTTCAGTGCTCAGGCCTGCAGGCCAGCTCCAGGACGTGTGTAAGGTTGGGGCCACATTTGTAGCCGTGCTTAGATGATTTGCAACTGTCTATTACGGGCAGTGTGTGGCCTGTGTGGCCGTTAGGTTCCCGCCACTGTCTCTATAACAGGGCTTTGGTAGTCATTCCCTGAAGACCCTGTGGTTCTGTGGTGCGGTGCTGCACAGGCTGACAGCTTTCAGGAGCAGGTTGTAGTGTTTTGTGAACATTCTTTAAGCCTGTACATTCAGGTAAAATCTGAATCCACCGTGCTCATTTCAACACCTGTGAAGAGAAAGTCTGGGTGGATCCTCCCGTGACTTAGGAGAGAACTATGGCACTCTCCCGAGGATGGAGGACTCACCAAGCAACTAAGCAAGCATAGTTGGATGCACAGAGGACCAGTCCTTTCTGTAGCGTGTGCTTACTAGTCTTCCATTTTGGAAAAGATACTTGCCATCACAGTTTGAATGAGAAATGTCCCCTAGAGGCTTCTGTCCACATCTTGGTCCTGGCTGGTGTTGGTGTTTTGTAGGTTCCAAAAACCACAGAGATGAAGCCTAGTTGGAGGCAGTGGGTCACTTGGGGGTCTATTATCCTTGGCCCCTTCCTCTTTGCTCTCTGCTTTATGGCTCACCGTGGAAGATGGAACTTTCTGAAACTGTGAGACAGAATAGCCCCCTTCCACCCTGAGGTTGTTTACGTCCCGCAGTTTGCCGCAGAAACATGACTCTTACTAACCCATCTGTGGTGGAGCTCGCTGCAGATGCCTGGGACCTCTGAGGCGGCTGCGACCATCGAAGAAGATGGGATAGGCCGTGCTTGGCTTCATCCCCAACGGCTGCTGCACTGCTACCCCAGACACACCCAGACTCGCCCCATTTCCATCTGTCCCGGTGCAATGCATCAGCCTGGTGGCGTCCCTGCCCACCAGTGCCATCGGCCCACTTGGCTTCGAGCTTGGCGGGAAGCCAATGCATATGAAGGTGAAAGGGAGGTGGCCACTCTTCTCCAGGATGGACCCAACCGCCAAGAAGCGTCCTCTTAGTCCGTTGCTCTTCTGGTTCATGCCCTTCATTGTGAGCAGACCCACGAGCTACCTCTCCAGGTTTGTCCTCTTTCCCAGGAGAGAGCCTACGCTTCCCTTCACCGCCCAGTTAGCTTTTGTAGTGGAGAGGCTCCAGGTTGAAGGGGTGACAGGCTCAGAAGGGCCTGTGTCCCGTCCTTGGGTTCTACGGATCCTAGCATACACAGCAAAGGGGATATAGCAAGGCATTTACGAGTGTGGACGTGGATGAGTCTAGATCGTCTGTTGGCTAGTCCTCCGTGCAGCTGACGAAGTCCAGGGAGGTCAGGGCCAAGTCCATTCACTGCTGGTCCCTCAGCGGATGGAAAGGACTCAGAGCCCCAGACCCCACAGTTGTAGAATCTTTGAGAAGTGTAGTTTGCTGACAAGGCCTTGGGAAGCAGACCCTTTATCATGGGCTAGTAAACACAGCTTTGTTCTGAGACCACAGGATGATGACAGGATGGATGAGGCCATTTCGGAGCCAGCGAGTCGGGAGCAATCTGCAGCGGCCGGCAGGTGCAGGAAACGGGGGCGTTGGTTTGGGTGAGGTGTCAGAGGTGGCCTGGGGCTGGGTTTGCATCTTAGTCACAGACTCTCCCTGATGCCCAACGGCGAGGTGGCAGAAAGACTTAGACAAGAGCCATCACAGCTGCCCGACAACCCAACAGCTCTGAGCTGCTTGGGAAGCTCTAGGGCATCGTGCAGGATGGTGGGAGGGGGTGCGCTTGGTGGGAGGCAGACCTGGAGAGGGTGAGGATTCAGGAAGCTTACTTCATTTAGTCTTTTGAGAAGTGGCCATTTTCCCTTCATTTCAGACCTCCGAGCATGGCCCCCTTATGCCCCCACCCTCTCTCTCATCGTGCACTGTTCTGGATTGAAAGCCCTTTCTGGAACCCACCCTCTCTCATGCTCAATGGGGTCACATGCTTCTCCTCATCACCCAGACAGCTCTGTACCCTTCTAGTCCACTTCCAAGCTCACTCCAGTCATCCATTCGGGCACGCGGCCGTTTCCTTGTAACGCTATTACTGTGACCCAGAGAAGCATTTTAGGGATGCGGTTACGGGAGTGACCCTGGTACAGGACACGGCCTTGAATGTCTTTCTAGCATATTTTCTTCAGAACCACTGAGCCAGGGAAGAGGGAGATGATCCTACCAGTCTTAGCTTCTTTTAGCATCATCGCCTGGGGTTAGTGAGGTGGGCGGGGGGGCGGGATATAGTTTGCTGTCACCCAGCTGTTGCCTTTGCTGTTATTTGCCTCCCTCTCGGCCTCACAATGTCAAGTGTCACATGAAAGTACCTTTGGGGTCCAGCTGCATGAACGGGGATGTTCCGTGGTCCCTTCCTGGTGAACACAGTCACACCCGCCTGGGCGCCATCAAACAGAACGCACACTCAGTATTTCCAGACACACACCCAAATGGGGATTCCGAGGGTCTCCTGACTCTCGCCAAGCCTGACACGGAGCGGTTAGATTCCCGAGGAACGGCTCTGCTCCTACCTGTCATTCGTCACACCAGCGAGCGGCTGCCTGGTGAGGGTGTGAGCAATGGTTCCAGATTAACGTGATGTTTAGCGAGGTGCCTCTGTGCTCAGCGTGAGAACCGAGCTTCCGCGTCCGTCGTAAGCCATGGCGTGTAGGCATTCAGGGGCACCCTGGCCTTTCGCCCATGTTCTCATGGGGGCGTGAGCCTGGGTCGCCGCTATGGTTTCATTCTGTTGGTAAGTTCAAATATTCTCACCAAAAGCAACTTAGGGGAAGAAAGGGTTTGCTCGACTTCTATTTCCGGGTCATGCGGGGATGTCAAGGCAGAAACTCAAGCAGGGCTTTGAAACAGAAACCATGGAGGAACACTGCTTGCCAGATCATGCTTAGCTTGGCTAGGTTGCAATTTTATACAGCCCCGAGCCACCCGCCTAGGGGATGGTGCTGCTCACAGTAGACCGGACCCCACTACATCCACAATCAAGATGGCTCCCATAGGCATGCTGACACTGCAGTCTGATCTGAGTGGTCCCTTCTCGCATGGCTCAAGGCTGTGTCAAGCTGATGTCTAAAGGTAACTAGGACGCATTGAGTCCTGGAGTGAAGTAACTTGGGTAAGTGGAGAAACATGCATGAGTGAGGGGTTTGAGGCGGAGCAACCAGCCAGAGTGTGGACGCAAGTTTCTGTCCTGCCTGGTCCCACAGCTATTTAGTCCCAAATAAACACACAGAGGCTTATATTAATTGTAAACAGTTTGGTTTATCGACCAATCTTATTACTAATAAACTCTTGCAACTTAGAGCAACCCATAATTCTCATCTATGTTTAGCCACCTGGTTTGGTACCTTTTCTCAGTAAAGGCATCCTCATCTTGCTTCCCTCTGAGTCCGGCTGTTGACTCCGTCTCTGCCCTATCCTCTTCCCAGAATTCTCCTAGTCTGGTAGCCCCACCTATGCTTCCTGCCTAGCTGCAAGCCAATCAGTGTTTTATTAAACCGATGTGAGCGACAAATCTCTACAGTGTCCAAGACCATTGCCCCGCGCCACCAGCTTCAGGGAAAAACAGAAGCAAGGACTTCAGGAAGCGGGGGTGTCAGGGCTGTGAAGGAAGAAAGTTATTCACAAGCGGAGAGGGCTCCACTGTGAAACTCAAAGGCACGGGATCTCAGAACGCAAGCGCACTTCCTCAGGCCTGGACGGTAAGCTGGCAAGGATCAAGGTCAGAAGAAGCATCTCCCCGTGTAGTGCGAGATGGACGGCGGTGGTCTGACTGACAGTTGGCAGATGGCTTCTCCATCACGAAGGCCACTTTAATCTCTCCTCCCACACGTCAGCACAGACCAGCCACACGCTGACGTGACTCCCTTTTATGTCAGTATGACTGTTGCTATTATAAAAGAGGGTATGTGCCTTAATGTCTGAACTTTAGCTTGTTTTTAATTAAAAAACAATCTTAATTTATATACCAACTGGGTTCTCTCTCCCTCCCATCCTTCCACTCCCCCCACCATCTCCCCATCTCCCCCACCATCCATTCCTCAGAGAGGGTGAGGCCTTCCATGGGGACTTCCTTTTTTTTTTTTTTTTGAGACAGGGTTTCTCTTTGTTGCTTTGGCTGTCCTGGAACTCCCTCTGTAGACCAGGCTGGATCTCTGTAGACTCAGAGATCTGCCTGCCTTTGCCTCTCAAGCGGTGGGATTCAAGGCGTGTGCCGCCGCCACCACCCAGCTGACAGAGTTTCTTTGGGTTTCAATGTGTGAGCAGTTATGAGTCCATCCCTGGAAAGGTGATCTGGGTTTCCTTTAGTGCACCCTTCCGAGGACTCACAGGACAGGGGACAGGCACAGTTTTTTTCCAAGTTTGTGAGGCTGCAAAAGTGTGGGTTTTTAGGTGTCTAAGGTCCAGGGAGAGGATAACCAGGTAAGGAGGGGCAGGGAATGGCACCTGAGGAAGGGGGCTGTGCTGGCAGCTGGCAGGGATTCTCAGGAGGCTGCAGGAGGGGGAAGATGAGCACTGGGAGTGAGTCTGAGGACACTGACTCATGAGGAAGATCCCTGCATGTCCTGGGGGGAAAGACCAACCCTGACTGCTGGCTTCTGGGTGACCCTGATCCAAGAGCAGGTGACACAGGAAAGCCATAGCTTAAGCCAAAGGCAGACAAGAGTGCGGAGAGTCTCCCCCTCTTTCCTCCTCGCTGTGCGAGACCTGAACGACAGGTGACCAGTGCAATCTACAGCCCTGGTTCACTGGACTCTTCGGAGTGAATGTTGTCCATTCCGGAAGTTTCCTCAGACCCACTTACTGATCGTGTTTTTATTCGGTTTCGGTCTAGGGAACACATCAAGCTTCATGCTCACCATGGAACCCATGAAGGGGCATTGCCTTAGCTGTGGAGGCGCAGGAGGAGGAAGTAGGGCTGGTCAGGCCGGTCCTTCATGCTTGAAAATGGCAGAAGAACCCTGAATGTCCAGGCTTGGTGAGGGACCCGGACTGACAGATCCCGTGTGTGTGTGTGTGTGTGTGTGTGTGTGTGTGTGTGTGTGTGTGTGTGTGTGTATGTGTGTGTGTGTGTGTCTGACTGTCTGACTGTCTGTCTGTCTGTCTGTCTGTCTGTCTGCCTGTCTGCCTGTCATCAGCTGTGGGTTGGAGTGGTCTCACTTAGACCTCTCAGTCAGACCTCATGTCTGACTTCTCTTGTCCCTCACCCCACTTCGATTTTTCCCTTCTGCTGTTTTCTCCCATTGGCTTTTGTTGTAAGCAGACATCACAGTCATAATAAAGGCTTGGCTGAGTTCTCTGAGCTCCCGAGGGTCACTAGACTCGGTGGCCTTGGCTAAAGGGGCATCTGCAGATGTCTCCCTCTCATGAATTGTACAGCAGGAGCGCGGCTGTGGAGAGGCAATGGGCTTTGGAGAAAGCTTGAACCTCTACTTGGGGTAAATGGGAATTGCCTAAAACCCAGTATGGTTGAGGTGTCCGTCCTCTGGTCCTTCTCTGCCTTGGGACACTCACCAGTTGTTCTGGAGCTCTTTCTCCCGAGCATGGCTCTGTTCACCTCACCTCTTCAATCTCTCCTTGCATGAAGGATTTCCGCTCATCTCTCAGGAATCAAACCAACACGGACGACAAAACGTCTCCAAGCCATGCGGCTCCAGGAAAAGACTGCATTTAACTCCGTGACAGTGCATCTGCTGGGGTAATGGAGCTTGGCAAGCAGGCTCAACTGGGTCTTATTCATCCCGTGACCCTGCCCTCCAGCCCCGAGACCCCCCAACTCTACAGCTTCCACTGCTACAGTAGAGGTGCCCTGCACAGCAACCTGAGAATGTCTGTGATGATTTTCTTTATTCACATTGCCAAGAAAAAATATCAATGAACAACCTCGGTTTTTATGTTTTAATCATCAAAGTCCAGTGTGTGAAAATTCTGGAGGAACATTCAATAATAAGTTAGGGATTTGAATTCAAAGAACTTAGCTCCAACTTTCTCTCTAAACCGCAGGGGAGCTGTGAAACCACTTCCAAACTTGACTATCAATGGGGTGGGAGACGCAGATTCAGTTGGTCTTGGCAACTTCAGGGCACGTGAGCCATTGTTCCCATGGCGTGTCCACAGGCAGACACGACTAGTCCATCACAATGACCACCCTCATCCTCCTGAGATTCATTGCCTCCCGTCATACGACCAACTTCACTTCTCTGTGACTGGGTCCAGTGTGGGGTGTCAAGTACAGAGTAGCTGGGGCTCCATTGGAATAGATTTGGGGACCCTCTTTCTCCTGGATGTGCAATGAGGCTATAAAAGTTGAGCCGTGTTCCTTCCTACCATCACAGGGATGGGACATTGGACCATGGAGTCAGATCCTTCAACAAAGAAAACACACATGCAGGGAAACATTGCACCCCCCCCCAGACTCAATGTCCAAAATCCATGCTCTCAAGAGTGTGCTGGAGTATGAGTGTGTTGGAGTGTGTGTTAGAGTGTGGGTGTGTTAAGAGTGTGAGTGTTGGAGTGTGAGTGTGTTAGGATGGGGGTGGAATTCAAGGTGTGTTTGTGAAGGGGAAACTAATCTAAAGTGAGATCGTGTGGGTGAGAGGTCACCAGGGTAGCCCTCATGCCATCCCGACATTGTCTTCATAGGAATAGATCAGTTCTTTGTGCAACAGATGTAGGTTAGTGCAGAAACTCAAAACTGACCAAAGTTCAGAGAGTCAGTGTTTGTGGAATGCTCAGCTGTAAATGGCTGTGTCACCCACCCAAGGTTATCAAAGAATATGTAAAGAGTCCAGGAAGTTGGGGGTGGGGAGGAAGGGGTAGAGCCAGGAGGAATTAGAGAAAGAAACAGAGGGTAAATGTCATCAAAATTCATAGTACAAAATTCTCAACATCCTCAAAAATAATAAAAAATTCTTTTCAATTGGGAGGAGTTCAAAAGAGGGGATGGAGGGAGGAAATGGAGGGGAAATTATGTGATTTTTATTTCAAAAACATTAGAATTATGCACATACATACATGCATACAAACACACATACAAATATGCATTCACACATACGTAAAAACACACACATATATACATGTAAACACACACACACACACATACGGGAAATTTGGGCTATGTGGGACTGGCCAGCAACACATCCAGGAGCCTCAGAAGGAGTCACTCTGCCTAAGCTTGACCTTGGGCCTCTGCTGTATAGAAGCGCCAGGCTGAACTCCTTATGGAAGCCCTAGGACTTGAGCACAGGGCTCTTCCAAAATACACAGGGAGATGAGGAGAGAGCTCTGTGCTGCTCGCTCACCCCGTCTATACGGCAGGCAGTCTCCCTGCGTCCACAGACCCAAAGGACACGTGGAGGTGTGATTTACCTGGAGGAGGGTCTGAGAGATGAGGTCACAGGTCGAGAGTTGACTCAGAAGGGCAGGGGAACGTCCCCAGTGTCTCCATGCCACTATGGGTGTGTGTCACCCTCCCCTCCACATCTGCACTCATACCATTAAACCCCACTTTATGAAAATGAAGAGCAAGTCTTGTCACAGAGTCCCCAGTTTGATAGAAGTGGGGGAGCATCTAATTGGCAGGATCCCAGGTCTTCCAACTTCTCCTCCTTGTCATTGCCACAGTCATGGCAGTTCCTGAGCTGGAGTCCTGACAGCTGGTAGTAGGCAGACCCGGAGACATCGTGTCCCTAGAGAGTCACGCTGTTTCACTGGGAGAATCAGACTTTTATTTCCTGCAGGCCTGGGAAACCGTCACTCAGGATTAACAGTTACTGTCGTCCCAGCAGGCATTGGACACTGCCGAGGTTCTCAACGAGGGTGCGGAGTCCACTGTCGGGTGAGCTTCAGGAATCTGCAGTTTTCCTCCACCGGCTGCTTTGACTCCCCCCAACCCCCGCTAGCCGCTTGGGCTCTGCCACAGTTGCAGTCCCCAAATAACACACAGGAGGCTATATTAATTATGAAGCTGTTGGCCGTTTGCTTGTTTCTTTCCGGCTAACCCATAATTGTTAATCTAAGTGTGTCTCTTACAGGAGAAAAGGGTCCAACATCTGACTTCTCTGGTGGGCTACATTGTCTCTGCCGTGTCTCTCTTTCCCAGAATGTGCCTCAACTCCTAGTCCCATCTATCTTGCTTCCCTATTGGCCAACAGTGCTTTATTGACATATACACAGGACTTCCCCATCAAGCCACTGACAGCCTGGCACTGGCCACTGTGTGCTGACACTGTGTGCTGACATTGTGTGTGCTGACACTGTGTGCTGACACTGTGTGCTGACATTGTGTGCTGACACTGTGTGCTGACACTGTGTGCTGACACTGTGTGCTGACATTGTGTGTGCTGACACTGTGTGCTGACACTGTGTGCTGACATTGTGTGCTGACACTGTGTGCTGACATTGTGTGCTGACACTGTGCACTGTGTGCTGTGTGCTGACACTGTGTGCTGACACTGTGTGCTGACACTGTGTGTGCTGACACTGTGTGCTGACACTGTGTGCTGACACTGTGTGCTGACACTGTGTGCTGACACTGATTGCTGACACTGTGTGTGCTGACACTGTGTGCTGACACTGTGCACTGTGTGCTGACACTGTGTGCTGACACTGTGTGCTGACACTGTGTGTGCTGACACTGTGTGTGCTGACACTGTGTGATGTGTGCTGAGACTGAGTGTGCTGACACTGGCAGTGAGCGCTGTTAATGTCCTCATCTGATAGTTAACTTTGATAACGAAACCTGGCAGGGTGCAGAATCAGCTCCAGGCATGCCTGTGAGGGAACCTCTGGATTGGGGTAAATGACAACAGAGTCCCACCCTCAACGTGTGCAGCAGCCTTCCACAGGCCAGGCCCTCAGGTGGAATACAATGCAGAAAGTGACTGAGCACCAGTGTTCATTGCTGTCTGCTTCCTGACCGCAGATGCCATGTGACCCGCTGTCTCATGTCTCTCCAGCCTCCACGGACTTCACTGCACCACGAGCCAGGATAATAATACCTTTCTTCCTTAGGCAGCTTTTGTTAGTACTTCGTGAGGAAAATAACCAGTACGTCTTCTGTATCTCAGAGCAGCATAGCCTGGACACAGTGTGTGTGTGCTCAAACACCTGCCCCCAGTGAGAAATGCTGTGCAGAACACCCCACCTCCCTGCTCTCAGATATGTGGCCTATGCTGTGCAGAACACCCCACCTCCCTGCTCTCAGATATGTGGCTTAGTTTTTATTGCCAACTGACAAAACCTACAGCCACTTGGAAAGAAGGAACCAGCAGATCGTCTGTAAGGAATTGTCTGTACTGATGCGTCAGAGGGTACCAGCCCACTGTGGGGGGTGCCATCCCCAGGCAGATGTCCTGGGATGTATAAGGGAATGAGCCAGTAAGCAGTGTTCCCATCATTTCTGCTGTTTCCTGCTTGGATTCCTGCCCAGACTTCCCTCAATGATGGAGTGCGACCTGAAGGTATAAAATAAAACAACACCCCCAAGAGTTGTTTTATGAATGTTTTGCCTGCGTGGATGTCTGCGCACGTGTGTACTTGGTGCCCACAGAGGCCTGAAGAGGCCATTGGATCACCTGGAATGGGAGGTATAGATAACAGTGATCTGCATGTAGGTGCTGGGACCCAAACCCAGGTCAATGCTCTTACCCGCTGAGCCGTCTCTTCAGCCTCGCCACAATTTTTTTCTTTGGCCATGATATCTGTCACAGCAACAGAAGGAAAGCTGGAACAGTGTCTCTGGACCATTCAGAACACAGGCACATATGTGTCTACTCAACAACTCTCTGCCATGTCTACAAATGAGGACAAGCTCTGGGAGCTCCCAGAACCCATAGGATAATCTCAGAGCAATTAAGAGAAACATTTGTCCTAAGGAGAAACTCAGCCATCTTGCAGCTCTCAGGACGGTGAAGAGATGCCAACCTTTCTCTTACCTCTGCTCCAGGCAGCTGCAAACAGCTGCTGGCTCGGCTCCGGGCTTTGGATTAGTGTGTGAGCCTGCATGTGTGCCCTTGAGACTGTGCACGGTGTGTTCCTTTCCCAGACAAGGAAAACCAGCATAGATGCGATTTAACTGGTAATTGTGTTTGCTGTGGGGTAGCCGAAGCAATGATTGTGTTTGATGTGGGGTTGAAATGCATAAAGAGATAAATGGCTTAATTTGAATCAATATTAATTTAGTGCAATTTACTTTTAACTCTGCTTCTCAGCAAATCAAATTACTCTGTTCAGGAATCATTTGAAAACTTTTCCCTGCTCAGAAAACTGAGCTAAACTAGCCTGGCTTGTCTGCCGGTGCAGGCATGGAGCTTGTAGCCTCGGCAAAGGCCTGTGAAGGATGCAGATATCAGACCCCAAAGAAACAGCTTAGCAGGCCCATCGGTGTGTCTGTACATACGAGTACATGTGTATGTATGCAAGAATATGGTATACACATGTGTGTCGATGGGCACGTGGAAGCCAGAGGTTGACAGTGGTGTCACAGAGTCTCTGAGGGATTGTGGAGCTCGGCGACTTAGCCTGTCCAGTCATTAACCTGCAGGGACCCTTCCGTGTGCCTCTCCTTCATTAGAGATACAAACCAATGCCATGGGCCTAGGAGTGTGAACTCAGGCTCTCAGTCATGTGAGCAAGTTCTTGACCGAAGAACCGTCTCCCCACCCCTGGTCCGCTCTTACACAGACGCTCATTGGATCAGGCCCAGGTTACTGGCCTCATTTCAACTCTGCGACCTCTTAAGAGATTAGATTCTGAGGCTCTGGGCGCAAGGACTTTGGTGACACAGCTTGGCCCGTGACAGCCCTCTTGTGTGAGAAGAGGGGCAATGTCAACGTCAAACTCTGACTACAAACACTTCGTCTGGGCCGAGCACGGGTCCAGG